TCAATTTCATCAAGTTTATTATGGTTCAAGAAAAGCCTTTTTATAGGTTTATGGTTCAAAAAAAGCCTTTTTATATTATGGTTCAAGAAAAGCCTCCCTTCTGTGTAGTCTGAACATTTTAGTCTTATATAATTTAGTCACTATCTGTTTTAAATGTGTTATGCTTACCTTCCTTTAATGTAGCTTTTTTAGGGTAAGAATCAGTGTGTACTCTTCTTCCCCAAAACTACCCAGCTCAGCAAAGCATACCATGGTTTGTGCTTAGTAGACCAAGAAATAAGAATGAAAATTGGATGCCCTGTAAAAAATAAATAAATCAACTACTTTTGCCTTCACATATATTTTAACTTTCTGGACTACTAAATATTCATAAAGATGTTTTCTATAAAAAATAATATACATAGACAATTATAAATTTAACAATATTTGTCTTTGAATTTCTGTGACCAAAACTACTTATGTGACCACAGAATTGATAACTGGTTACTTTTGCCATATAAAATCATTTTTCAATTCTTTCTCTTTTCTGACTCACTTTCTTCCATTAAATCTTCCTGGGAAATTTTCCTTTCAAATTGGGTCAAAAGGCTGTAGATTCCTCCTTTCTATGAGGCAGCCCATTGGAGGAAAGCACTTAGTGACTGGTAAGGACAGAGATACAACTCCTCTGAGAAATAATGGAGCTTCAACAGTTATTCTCCTAGGTTACATGAAATGGCATTTGAATTTTGATCAATGTAAAGAATTAGGATTATACTAGGAAGGCTAAAACATTCAAAAGATGAGGTAGCACTGATTAAAAGATTCTGGGAAGCAATTCTGACTCCACAGGTAGCATTTGCCAGACTACCCATTTTGTTTCATCCCCAGGATTTTTGGAGAGGAGTTGATAAGAGGAGAGGCAGAGCAGGAAGAGGGAAAGTGCTTAAGGAAAGCTTCCCATGCCAAAGACTTTTCTCTTCCTTATAAGTTCCCTTAACTAAGCAACAAACCATAATCTTTATTAAATACAAATACAGTAAGGCCATTTTCATCTGAGAAGAAATTGAGCTCTGCAACTGAAAACGGCGGTATGCTTTTCCTAGTACACCTGGTGTTACTAATGGACTGGATTATTGAAAATGCTTTTCCATCCCTCAGACAAAAGCAAAAGTAGCCATATAGCTAGTTAGCAAGAAAGAGAATTTTGAGCATCTGGATATTTCAATAATTAATATGTCTCAGAGCACTTCAGTCTGTTGTTAAACACAGACCAAAAAAGAGGTGGTTTCTACCATTTGCAGATGTATTCTCTGCCTCACCTTACTTGTATCTTTTGGAAGCTGAGCACTGAACTTAAGAGTCCCCAAAACTTTAATTGAGCCCAACTACTACTTACTATCCTGTAACTTTGGGCAAGTTATTTAGTCTCTCTGAGCAAAACTTATTCTGCCTATAAAATTGGAATATTTGTATTTGTCGTATTTAAACAAAAGAGGTTTTTTTAAGGCTCGAAAGGAGACGTGCATGTGAAATCATTTTATAAATTATAAATCATTGTGCAACAGAATGTGCTAAATGGATTAGTGTTTGGTGGGGGTCCTTTGATGATCTGTGCTTGAGTTTCCCTATGAACAACATGTGGGTGGTCCTAAGCTGACCGTCCTCCAGGCCTCAGCAGACCTTCTTCCACTACCTGAGTCCAGGGTTCAGTGGAGCATGAATGAACTGAACCCAAATCAAATCTATGTTCTCCTTGTTCCTGACACATATCCTGGTAATTAGCATTCCAGAGTTGTTTTCAAAGATAAAAACTGTAAAAGAAACCACAACTGCATTAGTTTAAGTCCTTAAAAACTACAGGGAATTTTCTGTTTTGTATGTTCTATTAAATTATTTTTGGAGAGCCCAAATTAAATGATATACATTTATACATTCCATAGCATGTATATAAATACAGGGTGGGGCAAAAGTTTACAGCTGTTCATATGGAAAAGAACATAATGATTAATAAATAATACTGTAAGAATAAACTCTGTGTTTCACATACTCACAACTGTAAACCTAATTTTGCCCCACCCTGTATTCATTTTCTTTGCTCAAGTTCTAGAGAACTGTTATGGAAAGTGTCCCTCTGCCCCTTGGGTTTCAGTAAAGATGTTTTATTCTTCCTACTAAGTTATTTCAAAGCATGGTCTATGCCAGCGGTGTGCATTACCATCCTGCCAGTCAATGACTAGGCTGCCATGGCAGTCATCCAGATTCTCATTTTTTACACAAATGGTTTTAAAACACACTCTATATTACATTCTAATCTCATGCTGCCCAGCAAAATATACATGATCCAATATAATGCACATAATATTATGATGCAAAAAAAGTTACCAAGGAGTCAAAATGGTGTTTAAAGACTTACTATAAAATCCATATGCTCACTCTGAGACTGTTCCAAATGAGTACTAGAAACTGACAGTTTAATGTGGTACTGAAAAGGTCAGATCAAGAAGGAGGGAGGTTCACAAAACAGAAGCACATGCAAAAGATATTGCCAAAAGAGTATTGTGACTCCTCTAAAGAGTTCAGTGGAACATGAGGCCCAAATTTCTAGCCCCAAGCTTAATATACTTCTGTTCACAGAACAGACAAAATATCCTTTTTAGAAGCACTGGAAAAATAAAGCAATTCAGGTATTGTGTGTTTGTGCTAATCCAAATCAATAGAAAATTTAGCCACAAGATCCCTTCCTTAGAATTAGTAAATATGAATGCCTAGATTTTCAAGCTCCCCATATACGAGGATTTTATACATCCATCTACCATTTAATTCACTTGTCTGATGAGAATTCTCCATGTGCATTATATCTGATGTTTTCTACACAGTTTGCTGCCAGCTGTTTTCAAATAATGTTTCAGACATGATTATTGGTTTATATATTCCCATACTTTTTCAAGGTAAATCTCATAAATAATTTTTGCTTACTTAAATGTAGCTTCAAATATGCATCTTTTTAAAGGGAACTTGAAAGGTTTACCAAGGCCTTATGTTAAATGTAGGGTCTACTGCCCTGACCAGTTGGCTCAGTTGGTTGGAGTATTGTTTTATACACCAAAAGGCTGTGGGTTCAATTCCTAGTCAGTGCACATACCTACACTAGGATTGAATTTAGATTGTTGGTTCAATCCCCAGTTAGGGTGCATACGGGAAGCAACCAATAGATGTTTTTCATATCCTCTCTCACATTGAAGTTTCTCTCTCTCTCTTCCTCTCTCTCTCTCTCTCTCTCTCTCTCTCTCAAATCAATAAACATATCCTTGAGTGAGGATTTAAAAATTTAAAAATAATAAACAAATTTTTAAAACGTATGGTTTTTAACACCATCTCTATAACATTATATATAATGTTATAACACCATCTCTATAGTTTACCACATTCTTGTATTCCAGACAGAGAATTTGAGACAGAAAGTAGAGACTTTAATTCAGATCACTCAGTGATAGAGTCCAGTGAAAGAATTCATGCTTCCAAATTCCTTTTACTATAAGTTTTCTTGAGCTGCGTAAAAGATCTTCCTCCAGCCATGTGCAGAACTCTGACAAACAACGAACTGCCTTTAAAAACAAGAAATTGACTTCTGTAACTCATCTGATTGACACAAGTAAAATCAAAAGCTAATAGGACCAAATAATCTTGTCCCAGGCTGCATGACAAGTCTGTCAGTAAACTTCCAAAGTGCAAACATGCAACTATTCATCAGAAAATAATAAAAAGCCTCAACAGGTCCCTCAATCCAACATAAATAGAAACAAACAATATTAGTGTCATATCAGGCACTTCCAAACTGACCTGGACAAAGCAAATCACCAAGCTGAAGTATAAAATAATTGAGGAGAAGCCCTCTTCTTGGAACCAAGCAGTGAAGCCCAGGGTAACATGTGCCGCCCTCTGTTGGTTTGCCCACCAGGGCAGGAGCCTCCTGACTCAGTCTGAATGGGGCCTTGGCCTGGTCACCAGGTCCCACGGGAACTTGCAGCCAACCCCAATTTTCATTAAATGAGACTAAGAGCCAACAAAGTATTTAGTCAGATATTTTCTGTAATAAGGAGAAGCACAAGAAAAACAAGAAAAGAACATAGAAATCATAGGCAGAAGGCTATCCCAGGATTCCACTACCCTAGAATGGAAAGTTTGAACAATGATGAGAAAAGATTAAATTCTGAGGATTTTTTCATGTGTAACTATTGCTCAGGACCCCTATATTTAGATTCAAAATTATTCATTCTTATAGCAATATTGGTAGCAATGTCCACTCAGGAATGGGTTTTTTAGTTCCAGAATTGAGAGATTATTTCTGCCTCAAAAAGTAGCCTGTAAAGTGAGAATTAGAGAAAAGCGGAAATGACATTGCCACAGCAATCACTTGTAAGTCAGCAAAAACAAGAACAACAGAAATAAAATCCTGACTTGCTGGGTCAGAGGCACTACTGCCCTCCTTCAAAACTGCTTGCTACCAGTGTAGTTTCACATTTACCTAGCAATGTATTTCATGACAAGTTCTTCCTCAGTTGAGGAGTCATTTTGAAAATGTTTTCAATGGCAAAGTGTGTTTGAATCATTCAAGAGTACATAGCAAATTAAGTTATGCTAAAACTAGTTTTATATATCTCCTAGACCTATTTCTAAATTGAGAGTCATTCAAAGAAATTGTCTGTTCACATTTTGAGAGGGACCCCAAAACACTCAGAATTTACTTGTAAAAACATCACGTATTCAAAGTCCAGAGTGTGACCAGAGGGGAGTGTGACCAGAGGGGAATTTCAGGGGAAGGGGAGAGGGGTTTGAAGGAACTAGTATAAAGGACACATGGACAATAACAAGGGGGGGTGGAGATGGGAGGGAGGTGGGGAGGGCTGGGGGATGGGCTGGGGTGGGGTAAAAGGCAGAAAACTGTACTTGAACAACAATTAAAATAAAAAATAAAAAAACATCGTGTATTTGTTCATACGTGTTTAAACTTCACTCACCTTCAAATGTTCTTCATGTGATACAATACACCTATTGAGACATTTTTTCCACTGCTCAAAACAGTTTTTGAAATCATCAATATTGATGCCTTTCAGTACTTCTGCCATCTTTCATTCCACCTCTTCCACGTCGGCAAAACATTTCCCTCTGAGGGCTTTTTTCATCTGGGGAAACAACAACAAAAAAAATGTCGCTTGGGTAGAGATCAGGTGAATAGGGAGGGTGGGGCACAGGGGTCATGCTGTTTTTGGTCAAAAACTGCTGAACATGCAGCGTGGTGGGGGCAGGTGTGCTTGTAAATCACCCATCATAAAATGGGGAAGTGTGTTGAAAGAATCTTCAAAAAAAAAGTTTATTGAAGCCAAACACAGTCTCTCACAACACCACTAGCTGGTGCACTGATATAGATAGATTCCTGGAACACTCACCTAGTGGGGAAACCCTGTACCATAAAGGGTCTACCCTCCAGAAGATAATTCCTTTTCTGGGGGGTCCCCCCTCACATATAAGTATTTCATCTGTTACAAATTCATGACTTTTTCAAAGGAAACTGTCCATAACAATCATGAACCTGATAAGCTAAAGGGCTTTGGAAACTACCTGCCTATTAGAATCCCCTCAGCAGAGAAATGAGACTATGCTAATCATCCTATTCCTAACCTTCAACAAGAGAGTTTGAAACAGAAAACAAATCTATTAGTAAGTTGCCCTTTCATTAAAGACTTATTTCAGCTCTTTCTCACTAACTCCAAAAAAGAAAAAAAGTCTAACGAAATCTTGTAACTTGCTTCCTAAATATAAAATACTATGAAAAGATGCTCAGTGTCACTAATCATCAGAGAAATTCAAATTAAAACCACAATGAGATATCACCTCACACTGTCAGAATGGCTATCATCAATAAATATACAAACAAGTGTTGGAGAGCATGTGGAGAAAGGGAACCCTAGTGCACTGTTGGTGGGAATGCAGGCTGCTACAGCCACTGTGAAAAACAGTATGAGGTTTCCTCAAAAAATTAAAAATAGAACTACCTTATGACTCAGTGATTACACTTATAGGAATATATCCAAAGAAATCCAAAACACTGATTTAAAAGAATATATGCGCCCCTATGTTCATTGCAGCATTATTTAAAATAGCAAAGATTTGGAAGTAGCCCAAAAGCCCATCAGTACATGAATGGATAAAAATGTTGTGGTACATTTACACGATGGAATACTATTCAGCCATTAAAAAAAGGAAAACTTACCTTTAGTGACAACATTGATGGACCCAGAGGGTTTTATGCTAAGTGAAATAAGTCAGCTAGAGAAAGACAAATATCATATGACTTTACTTATATGTGAAATCTAATGAACAAAATAAACAAAATAGAAGCAGGCTCATAGATACAGAGAACAGACTGACAGCGGTCAGATGGGAGCAGGGCTGGGGAGCTGGGTGAAATAGAAGAAGGGATTAAACATTAAAAAAACTCACAGAGACAACAGTTTAGTGATTTCCAGAGGGAAAGGTGTGTGGGGGCAGGTAGAAGATAAACGGGATAAACGGTGATGGAAGAAGACTAGATTTTGTATGGTGAACACACAATACAATGTACAAATGATATATTATAGAATTGTACACCTGAAAGCTATATAATTGTATTAACTGTTATAACCCCAAACATTCAATAAAAAAGAAGTTATGTGCATACACAACAAGTACCTTATAATTCTGATTTTCATACATTTTATCTCTATATTCTTATTCCTTAAAACAGTTGATTTTCAACCAGTGTGACCCAAGAATTTTTAAAACATGCAAAACCTGACAATTTAGTCATGAACACTGATCTTTTTCCCTTAGATTGTCAAGTTGAAACAAAAATGACAACAGCCAACACAACAATATTCTTCTAATGTGAATGAATCAAAATTATATCTATTTTTGTTAGATCAGCAAAAAATATATAAATTTTTGGTGTGCCTCAGAATTTTAGTGGCTTATGTGTGCTATGAAATGAAAAGGGTTGAAAATCGCTGCCTGAAGACAAAATGTTTTCAACGTAGCGTGTGGGAAATGTGTGTGTGTATATGTACGTGTGTTTTTAACAAACATGAGCATAGAGGAAACCCGAGCATATACACATCTCTGAGGCCATTGGAAGAGAGCAAGAATTAGCATTCATGGCTTCATATAATGAATTTTCTCTGTTGAAATCATGGGGACAGTCTCAAAATGTCTGAATTGTTATAGTAACTATCTCATAAATTACACCTATTCATTACGCTTTCTTCCTGCAAAGAGAATGTACTGATTTTGTGGGTGTGACCAACATATTAGAATGTGCCAGCTCATGACTGCCTTTCATCTAAAGAAGAGGCTCCGTTCGATATCTGTTCTTTTATGCCAGATAAATTCAGATTCTAAAAGCCCATATTTCAGTAAAGTTGAAGGGCAGAAACAAAGCAGCATGGTTCCTGCAGATCCTTGGAATTGAAGCTGGTCTGTCAAAGAACTGTAGAACACTAAAACTGAGAGCATCATATTCAACATCTTCATTTCTAAGATGAGTGAGAAACCTCAAGCCTAGAAAGGTGAAGTGCTTTCCTCAGTGTCACAGATACAGTTAATGACTAGAACAGTCCACTGGAGTTCTCCAGTAGTTCCTCTGAGTGACAGATTCAAAGGGAGAACATATGTAAGATGACTAATTGTGGTTCTCCCTGAAATCAGATTGCAACCTTCATGTTCACTCACATTTTCTCCTCTGTGATTTTGGATTGGTATTCAACTATCACACTGATTCGGTACACCCATGTTTATAAAATTAACTCCAACTCCTCTAGACTATCACTATTTAAAATACACATTGTGTTCCCTCAAACTCTGCTTTTAAAACCTTGACATAAAAGGCCCATCTATATATTAAAAAATATCTTATGTCCATCTCCTTCATGATGATTTCCTGCAGGCTTCAGCCAGGAAAGGAAGCTTCTGAGGCCTAGGACATCTCATTTACACCTCTTAGTTAGCATCTGTTGCATACTTTTTTGCACTGATGTTCTTCATGTGTGCATTTTATCTTCCTCACTGTGTCTAAAACACTTAGACTTTAAGTGGGCACAGTGCCCCTTTCTCAGTTATATTCCCAAAGCACCACCTTTTATTTTCAGGGCAGCCCACTGGCCCTAGAGAAGTCAGTCAAATTGGTATTACAGTGGATTATGTATGACCCTGGATCCTGCAACAAATTAGGAAGACCTGACTTGTCTAGGATTATGTTTGTCTGTTAGTTTTTTAAATCTCCCATTGCATTTATTTATTTTTGTATCCTCCACTTAGGAAAATTAAACACCAAAATAATATCATGTCTGCTGTATGGTTGGTGCTCAATAAGTACAGCTACATAATACCATGGAAACCACTCTAAGGTGCCATTGTAAAGCTAACCCATGTTTTTAAAAGGCTTTGCAGTGCTCCATCGCATGAATAAACCACTTTATTCAATCACATCCCTATTAAGGGCATTTAATTTGCTTCCACTCTTTTTGGCCCCACAAACAAAGCTGCAATAAATAGTTTTCTATACTAAATTCTGCTGTAGCTTGATAAAAATACCTTAAAATCCCCTGGATTTGCAGAATTGTGTAATAAAAACTACAGGGCTTCTGGAAAGTAGCATGTGCTAAGGGGGCACAATGTACCAAAACCTCCAAAGGAGGCAACTAGTTGAGAAATAAAATACATAGGAACCTAAAAATAATGATAGCACAATACTACAGGTGATAAATGGTCAAGAAATACATAAATCCTATAGTAAACATGGCACTTGACCTTGAAAAAGACCTGCAATTTGCTTGAGGAAGTGGGTATCAGAAGGGTGGTTGTGAGTTATTGTGAAGTGGGGAAAGGAGAGCTATCTGAAATCAGATGGGAAGTTATATAACACCAGATGTGGATGGGTGTGGCTCGCACACACAGTGGACTGAGGTAGCTGGAGCTGTATGAGGTGTCTGTATTTTGTGTTTTCCCAGGCAGCTTGGTTCAGCTGGGTGCAGTTTCCTGCCATCCTTTAGTATTTCTTGCAAAGGAAATTGTGTATAAGCCAAAGTGAAACAGGTTATGCTCAAAGCGTTCCCTAATATGTCAATTGCATAGGAACAAATTCACATTTTCAAAGTAAAGCATTATAGCAGAAGAGACTGCATATGTATCTTTAGATGCCAGGGCTGTCATTCCTACAGTTAGATTTGCAGGATAGAGACTGATGGGTTAAAGAACTTGTGCTTGTGTTTTGTTTGTTTGTTTTGAGGGTGTGTGTGTGTGCATGTGTCTGTGTTTAAATATCACCAGACTGCATCCCAACCAGTTCTGATAATTGTAAGATGTTTTCATTGTCATATCCTCAGAGAAAACACCCTATACCGCAGTCCCACATGCTACACCCCATTCTTCTTTCCCAGTTTGAGATAACAATTGTGATCCTGGGTAAGGTTTCCAAGAAGGCACCCTGGACCCTGCTCAGTAGAGCCAAAGCAGCCAAATGGATCACTAATGGCCCAGCACCTCCTGGGACACTTAGGGAGGAAATCTGCTCCTGTGTATCCACCCTTCACCTCAGTCTGGGCAGCTCGGGGCCAGAAATAGACGATTCTTCAGCCCCAGGGTACTCTTTGAAATAAAATGGTGTCATTACAAAAAAAAAGCTGCTTTGACAAGGGTAGAAATATATTTTTAAAACGTAGAAAATTATTTATGTATGACTCCACCAGGTGGAAATGAACATTTTAATACACTGGTGAAGTCTATGTCATGTGTATTGACAGCATATGATACTGAGTTTTATCTGGACTATTTTAATGTTCTAACTATTATTAAGATGCCTCATATTAACACTGTGTACCTGCACAATATACCATTTTGCAACATATTATAATTTACCTAGACTTATTATTAAAAAATTTGATTGTTTTCAAGTGTATTACATTATAAATATCTCTTCCATTGGAATTTCTGTGCATATATAAATATGTATACATATCACATACACATTACATATAGAATTATATCTTTAGAATCCAAGAAGAATGTGTGGATTAATGTAAGAATATGTTCAAGGCCACTCATGTCTTTTGTAAAATTCCTTTTCAGAAAAGTTACACCAATTTACAGCTTC